AAGGTTATAATAATTCAATAGCGCAGAATAATATTTTTCTTTTTACAAATGTTGGTTTAGACAAAATTTCAAAGAAAATAGAAAATTTAAAATATTCATTTGATGTTTTAGGTTTAGCATATTGGAAATTCTTGCAAATAATTATAAATTACGAGTCTATGACAATAGGCTTAGAACAATTGTTAAAAGATGCTCATGTGTATTTTAAAGGCGAATTATATTTTCAAATAAGTTTAGAACGAAATGGTTCTTCCCTTTTTGAATACAAAATATATGGCACTCAGGAAAATAATGAACCGCTTATAAATGTAAAACATAAATTGATGGTCAATGATAAAATTCATTTTTATCATGCAGAACCATTTCGTCTAATGTTTAATTCAAAGAAATATAATGATATATTTCATAATACTTTTGTCGTTACAAATGAGGGTTTACTTTCAAGTAATGACTTGAGTAATAAAATAATTTCTGCAGATATTAAAAGAATTGATAAATTCAATTCAGAATACAATATTGACTTAAGCTACAATGCATTGTATCAATATTATTTTGCGCATTATATTCGTACATTGCGTTCTAATGATTTGCAAGTTTACATGCCATTGAATTGGCTTTAAAGTCAGATTATAATTAGATCTAATGTAAATTGTTTTCATAAACTATAGAATTTTCTGTAATTGAGTGTTTTTTAAACAATATTAATAATTTAATTGTTAATTTATGTTTAACGTGAATATGAAATGTATAATTTGAAGTAAATATAAAAATTACGACTCTGTCAAATTATTCACACACCATGGCTGATTTTTGAATTTGATATTGTGATTTTGCAATCCGCAATTTTATTATATTCTAATAAAAATAAATTTGAATTTAAGGGGGGTTTCTCATGAAAAAATGGATTTTATTTTTTTTGCATAAATTTATTCCTTAATATGTCAAAAATGACCTCCTAAAATTTTAAGTCGATCCGAGTGATAGGAACTAGGATGAACTGAATCGGTAACCACCCCTCCTCCTCCCGCTAGATTTAAGTACGAAAAAACGTCGTTTTTTCGAATTTTTCATTCAAAAGCCCGCCATTTTTTTTATTTTTTGGTTTTCAGTAAAATCCCTAATTTGGAAAGTCACCACATATGTATATTTTAAGAATATTTTTGATTTTTTAATTTCCACTGATTCAAAATGGCGGAATCGTGTCTACCGCAAAACGCTTTTCTTTTTTTGGAGTCAACTTCACCACACTATGTATAACAAACGTTTAATTCAATAATTTAAATGTAAACAAATTTTTTTCTTTTAAAAATACTTTAATTTTAATATGTAAAAAGATTTAGACCGATATTTTAAAAAATAAAAAAAATATTTTAAAAAAACAAAAAATCATTTTTTGCCTTTTTCATGAGAAACCCCCCTTAAACTCTTATGTATCTGCGTTTGTTTTTTGCTAAAATTTTTTCGTCATATCTGAAAATAACTGGAGCCTTTCAGGAACCAATGTTAACACTTTCACAGGAAATTATAAGGTATTAAAATAAGCTGCAACGCTTATTATTTTAATTCCGAACAAAAGTTATTTGTATCCCAAGTAGCACGATATATCAACCAGATGTCACGGTGATATCACCGGGGAATGTCACCGTGACATCAGGAAAATGTCAAAATGTCCGCCTTACGGTGATATCACACGGTGACATCGAGGTGATATCATGGTGACATCAAGGTGATATCACAGTCATATCACGGTGATATCATGGTGATATCACCGTGATATCATGTTGATATTTTACAGGGACTTAAAATTTTTAATAATTTAGAAAATAATAATAAATAAAAAAAATAATAAAAAAAATAGTAAAAAATAATAATTTTTAAAAAATTTTAAATCCCTGTAAAATATCAACATGATATCACGGTGATATCACCATGATATCACCGTGATATGACTGTGATATCACCTTGATGTCACCATGATATCACTACGATGTCACCGTGTGATATCACCGTAAGGCGGACATTTTGACATTTTCCTGATGTCACGGTGACATTCCCCGGTGATATCACCGTAACATCTGGTTGATATATCGTGCTACTTGGGATATAATTTATAATTACATTATTTGTGAATTAATTTCGCTGCCATGTTATGGGTATTTTACTGAAAATTTATTTATGATTTTTTTTTATATAATTTATATAAATTTTTATAAATTTCATGTATTGTATAATTATGAATGCTTTCATAATAATTATTAAATGGTATATTAGCCCTAGCGGATTGGGTAAACCGAGTTGTAACCGAATTGGGTTACGTTTCGGTTCCTTGTAAAATATTGTCGTTAATCGACGAAATATGTTGTGAATAACTATTAGGAATGGTTAATAGACATTTAGAGTGCTTATCTATGCAATAATAAGAATAAATTAAGATATAATTACTTCATAATAAGTGTTTTAAATGTACAGTGCATACAGTTGTTGAGTTACTATATATGTATATTACCATCAGCGGCAGCTGTGATACACGCGTTAAACACTAGATGGCGTTGAAGATTACTTTGTGAATGAATATCTAAAATTAAACCCTTGAGTGTCAAATGTGTAAGTGAATATAAGTTTTAAAAAAATAGATCGATTTATTAAAACAACTTTTTTCATTTGTACAAATAAAAAAAAATTTTATTAGGAACAATTTTTTTCTGTCAAAATTAATCTTTCTCCTTTTATTGAGAAAAGAAATTTTTTTATTCAGAAAAAATTTTTTTTTTTCAAAATTAATATTTCTTATTTTATTGAGGAAAAAAGTTTCTTTTGTGTCACAATTACTTTTTCTCATTTCATTGAAAAAATAAAATTTTTTATTAAGAAAAAAATTTGTTTGTGTAACAATTAAAATTCATTTTATTATGAAAAAAAAATTAGTATTGGGATCTGAAATACTGCGATACGCCATCTGGTGTGAGCCTTGTTGTGGTGGCCATGTTTTCATTCCGTGTTTCTCTAACAAATACAAAAGAAAGAGATAAAAAACCAAGATGGTTGTCACAAGAAGGCTCAGGGGTGGGTCAGTTTCGCGTGATTTCTGATCCCAATTAAGAAAAAAATTTTTTTAGAGAAAAATAGATTTCTTTGTGTCACAACTAATTTTTCTTATGTCATTGAGAAAAAAAACTTTTTATTGAGAAATATTTTTTTTCACATTCGTAGAAATGAAAAAAGTTGTTTTAATTAATCGATCTATTTTTTTAAAACTTATATTCACTTACACATTTGACACTCTAAAGTTTAATTTTAGAAATTCATTCACAAAGTAATTTTCATCGCCATCTACTGTTTAAAGCGCGTATCACAGCTCCCGCTGATGGTAATATACATATATGGTAAATCAACAACTGTATGCATTGTACACTTAAAACACTTATTATTGAGTAATTATATCTTAATTTATTGTTATTATTGTATAAATAAGACCTGTAAATGTCTATTAACCATTTATAATAGTTATTTACAACATATTTCGTCGATTAACGACAATTTTTCACAAGTAACCGAAACGTAACCGAATTGTAACCCAATTCGGTTACATCTCGGTTTACCTAATCCGCCAGGGATTGCTGATCCATGGTTGTGTTAACCATTCGGCAAGATTATCAATTGCGAAAAAATCAATGGAGCTCTCTGAAGTTACATTATTTTCCATCTCTACACAAGACACTTCAACAAGTTCCTTTTTTTCATCCCAATCCTCTGTACATATTTCTTTTACGTTGATTTTTATGTAATATTTTAACGTGAGTAGTTAAGTGCGACTTTGCGGCAAAATAAAGGTCACAAAATAAAGGTACTGAAGGGCAGTACAAATCATAAGGGAGATTTTAAGGTAAATCCTTCACAGTAGGTCTTAAATTCATTAAAAATGAAATTGTAATTTATGAGAATTCGGGTTTAGGCGGGTTTGTTATGATTTTTCACGTGTAGCACATTGGCCGGCGTATATTGATTCGATAAAACTCGAACGAAATCGATAAAAATATCGAATGACTTGCGCAGCGCAGCATAATACACTGGCGCGAAATTTAAAAGAGGGATAAAAAACAATAAATAAAATTTCATTTTTAATGGGTCCACGTGGACATTTGCTTTGACCCCTCCTCCCCCCTCGTAGACAATCGTGGACTTTTGACGAACCCTCCCTCCCCCCCAAAACTGTCCACGTGGTATATGGACGGCCCCCTAGTTCCATATGAATATTGAAAGCCCTTCCATCTTTGAAATTGTTGTAGACGCTTCCACAGCACTTGATTCAGATACACGAATGCGAAACACTATTTCTGATTTAGTATTTAATGTAGTCTCATGATTTTCACTTCTGGTAAATGTTTTAATCCACACATTGAGTCAAAAATTATTGTAAATCTCAACAGGCGGATCCGGCTCGAAGGATCATGTCTACGCGAGCAAGCGTACATTCATAGCTTGTCTATAGGGAAATGTAATTAAAAAGTATTGCGCAGCCCTAGCTGCTATAGAAAACATCTGCGCATAAAAATAGATTTTTAAGTTTACCATACAAATTTTGTGTAAAATTACAATAAGGAAAACTTTCAGCAAATTTACTTTTCTAAGTTTCAACAAGTTAACAGTGTTAACTTAAATTGTTAATAGATATTTAAAACATTATTATTTTTAAGATATTAATTTATAAAATTGTCAAAAATAAAAATTTTTTTTTACCATCTTGTATGTTTTTAGGACTCAAATGATGCAAGAAAAAAAATATAACTTCCTACGATCATTAAAATTTAATGGATTCAAAATAAATGTGGTGACTCCCCAAAAATTAATTAGTTTTAATTATATAAAAATCTTATTTAATACTATAGTTAAAATAGTAAAGTCATATCATTTGTAGGTAAAATAGATATAGAGGCAAACTGAATTTTATCTTTGACATGCACTTAATGTGTTGATGGTATAAATAAGTAAAAGACACTGAATACAAATTCATAATTTCATATATTTTTCGTAAAAATGAAAAAGGACAATTTCCATTGATTTTTGATACGTCGTAATCACTTAACGTGTTTTTTCATCGGTTGGAATTGAATACACTAATATTTAAAATATTATAAGTTTTCGAGTTTGTAACTAAATAATTACAATTGTTATATGATATTACTAATTTTCGCTAAATTAATATTTCATATTAAACGTTTATCTGCATTATTACTACAGAAATAATATTTACAAGTAGAATACATAAGAGTTCTTATATGTATTGGCGTGTAATGTGAATGTATGTATGCCTGTATATTTGTATGTGTGAAGTTTATTTACAGTATTAATATATACATAATTTAAGCAATTATTATATAATCCACTAAGGTATTAACGATTTTTTTCTATAATTTAACAGAATGTTTCTTTAAAGAAAATGTTTACAATAATTTGATTTAAAAAAATAATTTTTATTTTACTATCAAGTTAAATATCTGATTAAAATTTTTTTTCTCTATCACGTAATAAATTTTTTTTTTAGATCGCATTAGAAAAAAAAATTTTGACTACATAAAAAGAAATCTTTGAATTTTACTTCTAAAAAATGCAAAATTTAAAGATTTTATGTTTTTAATAGAGGATTGTCAAACATCACTTTGTATCTCTTAAGAATTTCAATTGCGAATTTCTATTTTGTATTGAAATTCATTCGTTGTTAATGTTACTTATATAAATAGTGCCTTTGATTAATTACGCATTACAATATGGTCTCTCAATTTTGTATTTATTTTATGAAATAGTTAAGTTTCTTTAAAAATGTATATAATAAAGAAAAACTTTCGTTTTCTATAAAATTGTAATCCCCCTCCCTCTCCAATAAAATAATTACAAAATAAATACAAATAAAAAAAGAACAATTTGCATAGACTAAGAAAATTAATTTTCAACGCGATAACAATCTTTTCGTTTTCCAAAATGACTAGAACATAGAATTGAACGATCAAACACCCAAAGTATCATACAGCATTTGTAAATCATGCGATTCGTTTTGTCATCTTTAAAAAAAAAATCCACTCAACTGTTTAAAATGATGAATTAATTTACTTCATTATTTTTCTTGTTCTAATCAATGAAATAATTTCAATTCTGTAATAATTTATAATAAATTAAAATTGAAAAAAATGTTTCTGAAATAAATTAATGTAAAAATTTAATTAATTCAGTATGAGAGTAGTCTTTTTTGAGACTTATAACAATATTATGGTTATAGTAAAAATTTCGTTTGTTAAATACTAGTGTAATTAACAGTGAACGCTATGAAGGCACTATGTTTCACAGACGTGATCCCTAGGCAAACTAGCTGTCTTTACTCTCAATGATCGATTCTTTTATTTTAAACTAAATCATAGATAAGCGTAATCAATGCTTTCAATCATAATATTAAAATAAAACGCATCACATTAAATTAGCTCACGCTAATAAAGTGTTTTTTTTTCTTAAATCCATTACGCCTATCTATGAATTACGCCATCAATTTAGCAAATAGGGAGTTAAAACGGCAACAGTAAACGTTTTAAACGTTAATATTCATATCATTAACATTAATGTTTATTACTATATAATAATTATCATTAATAATGGCACGTTACGTTGCTCAGGGTACGAGGTAGTCTCAAAAAAAAAATAATGAAAATTTTCTTCATAAACATAAAATTTTCATAATTGTCCAAAAAATTTTATAAATAAAGATGCCATTTTCTATACAGTAATATGAAGTAAATTAACATTTTGAGATGTTTCGCATACCCTTCAGTTTTATTAAAATAAGATACTTAATTTGACTATTTGGAGATACAAAAAATCGTCAATCGCGCTCTCAAGTTTACAAGGCACTACTTGTTTAAAGATAACAAAGAATAGAAAAAAAGCAAAACCTTAGACACGTCTTTAAAAACTGCTATTATCAGCGATATTATACTAATCGTTTGTAGCACTCGGCAATTTCAACAACAGTCTATAGCTTTTTTTTAAAAAAATTTATTTTTTCTCAATAATTACAGTACATTTTTTTCCTAAATTTCTACGCAATTATTCGACATTTTTTCTGTTAAACAGAATATAAATAATATTATCTACAAAACGCTGCAAATTACAAAATGTATATTTATAAATATAAATAAAAACGCATTCAAAAATAATTGTTATAACAATGAATATCTAACTCTTTTGGAAAAACTGTATCGAAAGTAAAAAATAATTATATTTTTACATTAAGAAAAAAAAAAAATTTATACTGCAAATAAATTTATAAATTTTTTTCATTTAATACAAATATTCTTTAGAGATATATTTAAATATTGAAATTAGTGTAGAATAAAGATATCCTATTGTTATTTCAATTATTTGAAAAAGATGAACTAAAAATCAATCTAACATAGATAGATATTTATCTATCTAGATACATTTTACGCGCCATCAACATCACATATGTCGCTTGTGACACTTGAAAATATACATAAAATTCATATTCAATACATCAAATAACATTAAGTAACGTCCGCTTTTACATTATTATAAAAGCGGTTGTACAAAAATAACTAATGGTTTGGAAACTACGAGTCGATCAGTCGATTGAGTGAATACGCTATCATTATTATTATTATTATTAATATTTGCGTTCACTATATTTACATATGTTTGTGTGTGTGTGTACGTGTTTATTTGGATGAATAATAATTTTCTTTTCTTTGTTCTATGCGATTTACAAAATTAAATGATGAATTTTTTTGTTATACTAAATTGAAACTACATTTGGATAATTTATTAAGGGCATATTCCAAGACAAAAAGAATACAATAACAAAAAATGTTTTCAAATTATTTGTTTTAACAATTGGGAAAATTTTTTGATTTGCTATGACGTTTTCACCGTATGGGTTAAATTTTATCTATGCGCAGATTAAAGGAATAAATTTGCGTCTGCGCAGAAAATTCGTCAACATTCGTAAATCTTCGTACTCATGTGTACGAAGCTTTACGAATGTTCTGCGCAGACTGAAATTTATCATCTGAGAGTAAATCAAATTGAATCCACAAGGTGGAAATTGACTCTATTTTTCGTATGAAAAATGATCCTTAATTCACCGGGACAAATGAATATTGCGCGCGCATTCATACATTGAGAATAATAATAAAAAAAAAAAAGAAGTGACTCGTTCAATAACCGTTTTGGTGCTTCCTAACGTGGCAAATAGAAACACGTGTCACACTTTTATCACAATAGCATTATTACTGTAGTAAGAAGCTCTGGGGCGTTTGGTGAGACGTGAGGTAGCGGTGGAGGTGCTCATGTATTTTTTTTTTTTTTTTTGCACCAAACAGGAAGCAAGGAAGGCACGGTTTATATACATTTTACGTATTTACATTTGTTGTCGGAATAAGAACAAAAGTACGTTAAACGCAACGTACTTTGATATCCATTCGAAAGCTCTATTCGTTGTCGACGATTATTCGCTTATTTTCTTCTTCTTTCCAAAATCTTTTTTTTTCTTTCATGGAAAACTTTTTTTTTTGGATAAAAAGAGAAAATGATTATTCTCTTTGTCTCTTGGCGTGCATTAAGCTTCCTCTGATTCTTTCATCGCAAATCGCACAACGTTGCGCTTTGGTACTAAGTAGCAACCACGAGTCCGGAAGACCAATTTGAGCCCTCTAGGCTTCAAGGGAAATGAGCTTGATGACCTGCAGAATACTGCCGGTTGTAGACACGATCACCTACATGGAGCCAAAAGGACCTCCAACCAACATGGACAGGAAGTCACTTCCTGTCTCGAGTACTTGGGACCCCAGCCCTTAGCAAAACTGATACGGACGGAGTTTACATCTACTGGACCCGTTGTAAAGCCTGAATTTGTTGTCGTCGCTGTTGTTGTTGTTGTTGTCGATGTCGCCGTTGTCGATTTGACTCGATCAAAGATATTCAAACAGAAACCCGATGGCACTCGATAAACCAACAAAGTTCTAGATTCCGGATCGTCTAATGTCGGCGAATTGACAAAAATTGGACTATCCGATCTGTTGTACGCCCACACGCCATCTGATTCTTGACTTAGCATCAGACCTGCAAAAATTAAAATCATGACTCAGCAAAACCGGTATGGAAATTTAAAATAATATTCCAATAAATTATCTCAAAAAAAAAAAAAAAAAAAAAAATTAGTGATTTTACTATTAAAAAAAATATCAATATTTCTAAAGAGAATTTAATACAATATTATATAGCCAGAGAAAATGAGATACTCACCGAGTCCAATTTTACTACGAGTCCTTTGAACCGCAGGCGGCGCCGGATGATTTTCAGCGAGAGTCGCCAAACAGAGACCATCTCCATCGTGTAAAGAATCAAAGACATTTACAGTCGACAATTCCACAGGATAAAGACGACCGACACGGCCGCTTAATTCCCAATAAGCCAATGTACACCATTCCTTTTGTTCAGACTCTTCTGAAAAACAGAAATGAAAAAAAAATTAATCATCGATTCTTAAAATAAATGTTATGTCATTTTAAAATAAAGATCATTAAGATTATGTAAAGGATTATTTCTAACAGATTTTCAATAAAAATAAAAAAATTTTTTTTTTGTAGTAACAAATTGCAGGATAGAAGAGTAAAGTCCCACACGTGCTTTAGATTATACAAATAGCAGTTGAAGTCGTTAAAATATAAGTGAGGCTCCAAGAGATTTCAATGAGTCAGAAATATTGTCAAAATTTTAAACTTTAAGAGACAACCATGAAGAATGATAACTGTCTTACATTTAAAATATCAAACATTTTATGACTTTTGCCAAATAAATAAATGCGACAAGTTGTGTACAAGTTAAACTAAGAAATTTGTGTCCTTTACAAATAACTTGCTAAATTCTTGATTTTTTACAAGAACTTAAATTTTATTGTTTGAAAATTTTACATTTTTGACAGATGTGCTTCATATAATATAAAATATAAAGATACATATTAGTTTTTCAACATTATTGAGAATTTAAAATTATGCTACATCATGAAATTATAAAAAAAATTGTTAACAATACGCATGAATTTTAAAATAAAAATCATTAAATTAAAATTTTGTTTTCTTGACCATTCTGTATGTTTTTAGGACTCAAATGATGCAAGAAAAAAATATAACTTCCTGTCATCAATAAAATTTAAAGGACTCAAAATAAAGGTAGTGCTTCCCCTTAATACTATACAGAGATTGATGAGATGTTGGTAATACAGAGTACTTTATTATTTAGTTAATGTTATAGTAGTTTTGTCCAGTATTCAGAATTGTTATACTTTATTTAAATCAAAAATGTGTTTGAAATAAAAACCATGAGTTGACAGCTTTGTTTTTAATATCTCTGGCATGTTAAATAACTATATAAAATAAAATGAAAATTGACTTATGAGAAGAGCTCAATTGGAAAATTATATATTGATTTAAGAATTCTGGGTTCCTTCCTTTTTAAAGAGCTCGCTTTTTAAGCATCTCGCGTGTGTTCTCATTTCACCTCTTGGCAGTTAATACTGTCCAACCGCACTTCTGAGAAAGAGGTTCAATAAAGTGTGGTACATATATATATATACACACTCTCCTATCAATTCATTTTCCGCCTCTTATATTTTCATTTTCATGGAATTGACTCGACAGAAGTAGCTGGCACACGATAATAATGTCGTGTGTGTATATAGAAGAAAAAAAAGGAAATTAAAAATTTAACTACTTCGTCCTCCGCTTGTAACGATAATTTAGCTACATTAAGCAACCATCGTTGAACGTCGAGGTAATTTATAAAATTTGTACCTACAACTGAACAACGAGGATGAAGAGAGGACGAGAACGTGGAAACGGTGGCAACATCAAAAGTATGTGTATATCTATATACTCTAATTGTACTGAAAAAGGGATGATAATTTTCGCGGCGAGACAAACGTTTATAGGCCTCTTAACTTTATACGCGGCAGGATGAAAAACGATGAAATAATTGCCTACAGGCTATAATCACGTTTCTAAAGTGAGCTGCGTGGGCTGCAGGCCAGACGACCGCAAAACCGAATAAAAGTATACTTGCAAGTACTTTGACCGATACTTTTTGTAGAAAAAAATTGATTTACTGTCAATTTTTAAAAGGCCAATAATGAATTTACAAAACTTAGCAAGAGCAACAACCCCTGTACCTTGACAACCCGTTGTAGGTTGTACTGGTTGGTTGTTACTGTCCCCACTCGCTATTTGTCATAATTCTCGTCAACTACCGCACTCTGCTCTATAGTGGAAATTTGATAACTTTAAATTTTAACAATAAAGTCACTAAATTTTAACTAGAGCAGAGTGCGGTAGTTGAGAATTATGACAAATGGCGAGTGGGGACAATGGCAACCAACCTACTATTGTAGGTTATGTTACCTACCCATCCCTGATTTTTAGCTTTTCTATCCTTTTCTAATGCACGTGTTGCCATGGCTACACGAGAGTAAGACAATGTCTAGTGATTAATTGATTTCTTGTCATCAATATAACTTCAAAAAGAATAGTTTAGTAAAAAAAAAGTTGTTTCCTAACTTTTGAAGTAGCCTAAACTTTGAGATTATGTTCATGACAATAAATTAATTTTCTGCAAAATAGAATAATTTTAATCTTCACGATTTACATAAAATTTTCAAGATATACGATATCTTGAGAAAAGGAAAGTTTACGATTTTTATTCAAACGAATTTCTAACCTATAAATACTGACGAATATAACTCACATTAAAATATATTTACATTAATTTTTGTCATAACTGTAACTGCTTCTAATGTGAGAATTTTGGTAAAGTTTGCAAATAGGGAAAGCACGTGCGGTGCATGGATGGCATGTTGTTGATCCTGGGTCGGTAACCCGCTCTCTGCGATGGTGACCTTTCAATATACGCGCACAGTATGCACTCTTGTCGCTTCCGTACAATCCTTGAACTGCTTAACGATTTGTTCAGAATTACGGTGAGACAGGGTCACAATCACGGGACTCTTCAGTTATTGATACGAGAAAAGAGAGGTCGCCAAGTCATGAGGTGATGACCACGAGAGATTTTTTGAGGTTATCTCTGTTTTGGACCCACTAAAGTGGCGGTTCATTAAAGGTGATTCTAGAATGAAAGCACGTGCATTGGTCTGAATGGATTTTTCATTGAGACTACTGCTACGAATACGTTTATACATATTATGTCCATTCTGGATTCACCTTAATAATTTTATTGTATCAACAGGAGGATGAGTACAACGACGCGTTGTCAGCGGACTTGCGGGGTAAGCTGCTGTGTTTCCATATGATAAAAATAGATATTACGAGTTTAACGCGGCGCCAAGATTGCGGGGTATCGCGACGATTACGTCATCGGTTGTAGCGCAAACGGCTGGAGCAAGGACGCTTGTCGCGTCGTCTTTGGCGCCTTCTTCGTCCTCCGTCGTCTATATTGCCGATCTTGACTTGATGTCGCGTTGCGTTCTTTCATATAGCGCGATCGTCGATTTTATATTAACAAGGAATACAATTCGACGGCGCGCCACTGTCGCATAATTATTTTTACTGTTATTGTTATTATTATTATTTATTCGAGACGACACAAACCCCGTCAAGGATGTAAACACATTGGCAGATCCAACGACTATGAAATTACATGTGACGCTCCACGAGAAAGGGAACCGTAAAGGCAAAAACTTTTATGTTATGTTCAGTAATAGTTTATTGATTAGAAAATTTTCAATCAAAAAATTACGAACATATATAACCTAAAATTTTCTTTACAATGTTCCTTTTCTCGTGTGAAGCGCGCATATACAAAATGTTAATCATTTTTTTGTTTTAAATTTTTTCTTGCAATATTAATGTTAATGTTCTTCTAGAGGACATGATTAATAAAAATTATTTTTTAATGTTAATTAAATATTTATTCTTAAGATCTATGGGTAAATCTACTTCACAAATAGATTATAAATTTTGTCAATGAAAAAAGCAAAATATTCTAAGATAATTTTAATTCATGATTGTGTTGATGTAATTTTTTTAGTGTTGCTTTTGGGAGTCATTGATCCCTACATGAAAAATAGATAAAAAGAAATAAAAACCTCGTTGGCAAATGTAATTTGATATACAATGATTACAAAAATAGTCTTGTAGACGTTACTATCAGAAAAATAAATATACATCTTTCATAAGACACAGTGCACAATATAAAATGAAACAAAAATCACTGGTATCACCTATTCTTCAATTTCAAAAAGAGAATTAAATATTTAGAAGAAGAATTATATAATTATTTGATGAAATAAATATGATCCTATACATAATTATTTGTTGCTGAAAATAATAATTTGAAGCTGTATAACAGCTCGAAAATGATATGACTGGAACTCGCTTTAATAAATATATATATATATATATATCATATTTCTTCTATATACACAAAGGATGTAGAAAAAATGGAAACACACTGAATTCTAGTATCACATTCCATTACCCAAGAATCTGTGTGACGTTGAGTGTCGTGCTTTTATCTCCGTTTAAATTACAGCTCGAAGCGCCAGTTGTTAGAGATATCATTCTCTTGCATATATATATATATTCGTGATTCTCAATATTACAATTTGATTAAATAAAACATTGCCTTATTATTTTATTATTAACATATTTTCCCTAAGAATCAGTGAATTTTATTGAAAATTAAAAATTGAAAACGGATTCTGTATACCGTTCTTATATCGATAATAATCTTCTATAAATCTATATTGAAAGGATTTTAAAAAAATTAAAATTTATCATAGATATATCCATTCAATAAATAAAAAATTACAATTTTTTTTTAAATAATTATTTTTTAATCAAATATAAAATGAATAAAAAATTGTTCAAGTAAAAAATAATCGAAAAATGTTCTTTTCTAAAAAAATTTTACAAAAAATACGAAATGCAATGACAACAAGCACAGAGTATGCCAATGTGTTTTCCTGATAGGGTCAAACACCCTGAGCTTTTAGATAAGGTTCTCAACCTTGGCACGATCGAGTCAAGTCGTGAGACATACTCGTCTCTCTATATATATATATATATATATACACGCATATTGTGTATACATATACTAGTACAAGAAAACAAATATCTAACGATACAGTAGCGATTGCAATAAATTGTAATCAATTCTAAAAGTGGTCAGGAATGTGTCATACAAAAAAAGATATTTTTTTTTTTATTTCTAGAGATTCACAGAGAGCAAAAGGAAAAAAATTGAGAATAACAGCAAAAACATCTGATAATAATTTCACAATAATAGTAAATATAAATGCAAATATATAATGCATAAAGTAAAAAAAGATATTGACTATAAAGAAATATATGTGACGCGCACTGAAGAAAGGGATGAAGAACTACTTTTAAGGTATATATATAGGTATATACACGCGCGATTGCACTTTTCTTGGA